CACACACACACACACACACACACACACACACACACACACACACACACACCAGGTGAGTGGTTACATAACTTGCAAGGCAATACCACAAACATAGTGAGCCTGGCAATGACTCAAACATTCTAGTCTAAATAGAGCCGGGCAGAGTGGCACAGTCAGCAAGGACGTACTACGGCTTCATTCCGACCATGTGTAACATCTTTAGAGAGGTACAGCACCTGGACGTCTGGTGATTTCTACAGACACAACAGGACAGCTGAGGACATACGCCCAGTCCCGTTTCTGAGACTGGACTATTTAAACCACGCCTCTCTGTTGACAACTGTCCTCCTCCCTCTGTATTGTTTTGCATCTCATGTTTGACCTACACACATATCCTGAAACAGTGTTTCCCACGGGATTTGTGAGACCTCGGACCTTTTAGGGGGGGGTCCGTTGACAAGTGTAAAAATATTTTGGCTTCATTATAAAGCTGTGTTAGGCCTCCACAGTCTAGGCAGTTTATGGGAAACACTGCCTGAAAGCCTTAGGAATGGAAAAACCTAAAATACCTCTTGCTAGCAGACAACAATAACCCTTACGGTCAATACAACAGCACCCTGACAGTGAAAGTAAATACTATTGTGTCTCTGGAATATAGAGAACAGAAATGTGCTGGTAACCAAGAAAAATGTATTACGTTAACTACAAAAATATTTTCCTCCTCCGCTCACCATCTTGAAATAACATGAGCACGGCGACGTATGCTTTGAGCGGTCGGAAGACTAGAAAAGTCACACCTATTGCTCCTAAAACTGCATTCAGAACTATCCACACTATTGTTTAACGGTAGCTACATTTCAGCTGCAGCAACATTCCTTATTCTGACAAACTGATTGCGATTTAATGTTTTCTATAAAAGGACCTGCATTGAACAGCGATCTTGAGGTGAAACGCCTACTTTGTAGCAACGCTTCACAAAGAAGTAAAGGAAAGAGGAAGATTAAAATGAGCCACTGTTTCTCATTCAGTAGAAAATGAACAGACCTCCAGTTGGATGAATCATGCAGTCGATGATGTGTGCATGAAACGACTTGAACGCGACACTGAGACAGTCACCGATATGTTATAGAAGCATAATACAGATCATCTGAGGTCAAATCTGCTATCGAAGCACATTTAAGATGCATTTTAAAACTGGAGCTGTTAAACCCTTTTACAGCGGCGTGTGTTCTTAAACGGGAGCAAAACAACACATTATTTCTCTGTAGGAATACGTAAGCCTCCCTTCAAGGTTAATTATGTGCTTTTAAATGCATTCCAAAATCTTTGCCTCGAGTCAGCGACAATCTCCAGCGCCGTGCAGCATCAAAAGCCCACCCTCACACATCCCGTCCCACAGGAGAGGAGGTATATCTCCTCTCTTGTCCTCACACACAGGAGATACGCATTAACATGAGTCGGTGGTGCTCCCCTTACCTCCGTGATCCTCAAAGTACTCCTCCTCAAAGTTAGATTCCAGCTGCTTCTGTCTCTTCTTCTCCTCTTTCATCTCCTTCTCCTGCAGCTTACGAGCTATGGCCTGTAAACAAACAAAGCATGGCGCCCCACATGAATATGAAAATGTCAATCTGTAACAAATATGTCAATTAGTTTTGGGTTGATGGTTTTTTCTTTTCTATTCAGTTTAGCTTCAAACACGGGTGAGATGCATCGTTCCCTGATGTTTGTGCCATACTCGGGCAAAGTAGTGTGTTTTTTTTCACAGAAGTGTGGAGCAATGAGAGCCATCACTCCCTCAACTTACAGGCAAGAAATACACAGTGGCATAGGACGATGAGTGAGAGACCTAAAACACAACTGAACCGTAGCCCTTTATCTAATCTCATTGGGAGGGAAAACACTTCAAAGTCTTGTTTATCAACAATATCATGGGGAAAAAAAAAAAAAAAAACATTTATGAAAACACCCTGATACTGCATCATCGGCATACACTTTGCTCTTTATGTAGGGTATGAACATCGTGATTAAAACTTTGTGAAGAATAACAGGTCAGGTCACTATGGCTGTTGTTACATTAATGAAACGGAGGCACAAAGGAAGTGATGATTCACGTGGAATGACTCGCCCACAACAGTACGTCGAGACTACAAGTCAAACCACCGACGGGTGGATGTAACAAACGTTGTGCTTGAATGGGCAGAAATCTCAGGATGTGTGCGTTTCTTACCGCATCCTTCTCTTCCTGTTGCTGCTGTTGCTCTGCCTGTCGGACCAGTTGATCCTGAATCTCCTGGGCGATCTCATTGTCTTGACGCTCACTGAGGTTCCCGAGGGTTCATGTGCATATGGGGAGGGGTTTGGAGAACATTAAAACATATATTCAACCCTAACAAACATGTTTCTTTATCCGTAATGATGTTACCATGAACAATTACATGCTTTAAATATACATATTTTCTATATTTCTCTCCTCTATATTGGTTTAGTACCTCAATATCTCAAACTGAAATGAACAAAGAGCTGCACAGAAACACAGAAGTGAACACAGCACACGATCAGCGGTGAAGTTATCTAATGTGATGTGAGAGGCAGCGAGTGCTTCAGGCAGGAGCAGGAATACCTTTTGCTCACTTGCTTGTTTTTAAACAAGAATTTTGACAACACCACCATCTGCCTGGAGGGCAGTTTGTGTGTGTAAACAAACACGAGTGTAATGCTTTACTTAAAAAGAACAGTTACAGCTTAACTACCTCACACTGCACCTGTATTTGATCCGAGGCAGCCGACAGCTCAGCAAAGGCAAACAAAACTGTGGCCTCTTATTCCTTCGTGGGTACGTACTAATAAACAAGGGACGTTGCATTCTCCCCGTGTGTGTGTGCATCTGGCTTCTCCTTGAGGGTGTCCACTACTATATGCCCGTTTGTGTTTGTGAAACAGTGATCTCACTATGCTGGGAGTCGGCAATAATATTTCAAACTGCAGAGCAGAAAGGGGTCCAGAGTCCAGACTGAAGCAGAGGAAACAATCATCTTTGTGTGGAGGCTGCACAGCTTTGGACGTGCAGCTGGAGTTGACCCAAACCCCTCAGAAAATATAATTATACTTCAGGGATATAAAGAATGGAGATGCAGCACAGAGACCACAACATCTTTGAATGATCCACTTGGGCTGCTTGTGTAGCAAAGCCTTTCTAAGCACAAACATTCTCCACACAGTTGGTCTTTATAACAAAGAGTGTAAAAAAAAGTCAATTACATTGCATGGATGCTGAATGTATGACTCAGTAATCAGCTAGCAGAGCTAAACCTTTGCATCTTTGCCCTCTAGCACAAACTAAATGAAAGAGCTAAAACACGCTGGTAGCGAACGCAAGACATCAGCTCCTAACTCACGACAGTTTGGAGTCATCTGTGGTGGGAGTGACGGAGCACTTTGCTGCTGAATCATACATCTGTCTTTGCACAGGGTTTGGGAGTAATTACACGAGATTACACTAATCTGAAACAGATGCTCCCAACCAAGCAACAAATACTGTACACAGCTTTTTCTGAAAAGCACACTGATGACTTCTTGTTAAGGGTCATTTCACATCAGAAATTAAACTAAAAAAGATCCATAAATCTGCACATAAAAGGACGGTTATGGCCACATCTGGATGGTTAGATACCATTATAACCAGCAAACAGCTTTCAAGTAAATGTCGAATCTCACCTCATTTATTATATTAAATAAGTAAAAGTAAGTAATAAATATACTAGGTAATCACATGATTTACCTTCTGTATGTACAACTACATTTGCATGTATGGTTTTAGTGTTAATTCCTCCCATTGGGATTGCTCTTTGATATACATATATATATATATATATATATGTGTGTGTGTGTGTGTGTGTGACACCCACATGTCAGTGTGCTGTTTCTGGTTCTGGCCCTTGGCCCTCTGATCCTCTTCCTCCTGCAGCTTCTTGGCCACCTGCAGGTCCGTCTGCACGAGACGGCTCTTGTTGACGTTGGACGCCAAGTGGCTTTCAACTGTTCAGACACAAACATATGAGCGCTGCTCTCAACACTTGTGTACACACAAAACAGGAGGTGGTCAGCTGGCTGGACCGCCCCAGTGATGAGGAATTAGAGGAGCGATGGGCAGCGGAGCACTGGGGAGTTTATTTACAGGTCCACGCGTTCTCGATGTTCCCTCTGTGAGGAGCATAGTGTTGCTTCGATGGTCTGAAGAGAACAAGATAACTGCGAGGACACAGATGCTTCAGTCTCTGGTAATAAACAAGGAGCGGCCTTTTAGTCACTGAGAAATTAATTTTCGCAGCCGAGGTGCCAAGGTTGTGTGACGGCACATCGTGGGCCATAACAGATGATAAATCCTGCTTGCTGACGCACTCCGAGCACTTTGTGAGCACGGAGAGCATCACTCACTCGCTCAGCTCTGTTTCACCTGGCTATCGACCTGCTCCCCAGCCTTCATGTGAAAAGGACCAAATTACGTTTGGCAATTTAGCCGTGAGAGGCTCCATAAAGTTTCTGCCCTCTGACTGGTGGGATTGAAAGAGGACACTGTGAGTCACCACTGTGGCGACTTGATAAAAGTCAAGGGGTTGACATTGATTTTTTTTTTTTTGGATGACACTGATTAATTGTTTACGTTTATGATACCTTACAAAAAATACATTTTGAGGCAAAAACTGATGTCACAACTATCATTTATCCACTGTCACATTTCTTAACAGGAAAATTGATCTTTCAAAAAAACAAAAACATGACCAGACATTGTGACATTTGTTCATTGAAGAGGTCTCGCATCACTCAGAACAAAAGGGGATTTAGGGTGAGGAAGTTGGACTGTCTGAACCTCAGACATAGCAGCGCAGAGTGAAAAACATTCTAGAAAAGAAACACGCCAAGTGCTGACACAGCCATAAAGAAATACTTTACATGTGTAATGTGGATGCTTCATGCTCAACATTTTGAATGGATATAAAAGCCAGCTTTAACTCTGATGTTGAACTGGTAGCGATTGTGCTGAAATGGCCCTTTTGGGATGGCCATCGGTTGATGTGATCGAGGAAAAAAAAAAAAAGGGACACTACAAATTTAGAAGACCGTCGGGTTACGTCAGCCAGCATTCTCCTCAGTGACATCCAGGGTCAAAGGTGAAACAAAGATTTTCCAGTTCAAATCAGATCAGTTAGTGTGTCAACAAAGGGAGCAAAGGGATACAAGCTTTGCTCATCGGATCAATACGGCTTTAAAAGAGTTAACGACAAACACAAGGCCAGCCAAAACCAAATGAATCACAGCTCAAACTGAGCCTAATCTGCACTTAGGGTATGGCTGGGTGACATCTGGCCTTCTTTCTTGAAGAGCTTGTTGCATAATTTATTATTTTAAGGCGACATATGGAAAGAGAAAAACTATTGTCCTGTGCAGATACGCAACGTATCAAATCAATCAAAAGCTCACCAAAGATATCTGAACAGTAGCCAACTCATTTCCTGCAGCCTCTTGCAATTAAATCATCTTCTCTATGAATGAGTGCAGGTGAAGGACATGAGGAAGTGCAGCGGCCATTAGCCATCTGCAGGTATTCATGTGTGCGTGATAAAAGGAAGGCCTTGTTGTGTCTGGGTCACAAAATGGCCTTTCAACGGAACTCAGCACGAGATACTGTTCAGTGAGCGGCCAGCAGCAAAGGAAGCCTTTGATGAATACAAAACGTTTAAAAGTTATAATCATAATGTGATTTCAGCAATTCTCCTTAATGCACATACTGAAGAAAAAAGAAACTCTGCCCCAAGGGAACGAACCCTCTTTGGTCAGTCTCCAAATTGCCTTTATTAAATCATGTGAAAAAAAGCTGCCGGCTAATTACACACACACATATGAGCTCACATAAAAGTACCAGCTAATCTAATGAGTCATGCGGGGACAAACACTTGCACGGCATGTACACACAAAATGATCCTTTATAGAAACACACATGAAACAATCGTGTGTTCCAGATAAAACCCCTCGCTAAGCCGACTGTGCCGTCTAACTTCAGATCCAGCTTCTCCCTGCAGCGGCACACGGACATTATTGTGATCCGAACACATCACATGCACCCGTCATGTGGTCTGCCCCAGCCCGGCCCTGATACAGTGTTGTCGTGGCATTCTGCACCATTCACACACACAGCTAACCGTGTGGCTGAAGCAGGGTTTATGTCGGCTTAATCAGGCTGCAGCCATCGACTCCAGTTTGTTACACTTGACACATTTTTCCAGAAGGAAAAAAAAGAGGAGCGTTGTGGATTCATTCTTTCTGCTACGCTCTGAAAACATCTTTCACGGTTCGTTCTTTTGCAAAGTAAGCATTAAGTGACCTACAGGAGCAATGCAGCAGGGCAGCTCGACAGAAATAAGTCTACAGTGACGCAACGGGTCTGATGCAGAAAACGTGACGGCAATAAATGACTTAAGTGTTTAAACAGACTCTCCGGAAAGAGAGAATGATCCTGCAGTATCAGTATGAGTTCTCCAAATGTTTTCCGTATTACAAAAAAGGCAGCCAAGCTTGTCACTGGCTGAAGGTGACCCCAGATCAGTGATCAGAAGAAGTCCCCTGTTTGAAATGAGTCGGAGTTACCCGTCTCTTACGGGGAAAAGATGGTGGCTGGGAAGAAGAAATCAAAAAAACATGGCTAACTTGTAGTTTCTTACTTTCTTGCTCCTGGAGGTTGTAGGCCAGGCAGTGGTCCTCCAGCACAGCAAAGTCTTTGCACACTGAAAAAAAAAAGAAAGAGAGGAGACTGAAATTGAAAAAAGAATACTGAGAAAGCTAAAGTTTAAAATGAGTTTCAACTACTGCATGTTTGTTCATTCAGACTGGAAGTTATGTAGCTGGTACGAGTCAAGCTCGAGGCGGTTGAGATGCTCAGATCTCTATCTGACATTCAGTTTCAGATGTTTCACATCTGGCACATCTGCCAACACGCATACTTATGTCAAAAAATGACCTTGTATCCAAAGATCTGTTCAGCATACACTGTTTCTCAGTAGTTTGGTTATCTTCTATTTGCAAAGACATGAAGTGAAACTGAGAATGAGGAACTTTCATTTGCCCTCAGACTGTGAAAGTCTAAATAAAAACTGATGTTGAGGGAACTTTTTTTTTCTGCAAAGTTATTTAGAAATGCATGGGGCCTTAAGAATGAAGTAGTAAGAGTACTACTGACAAGCTGCTGGTTTAATGTGACATGCAGGCAAATTCAGTACACGAGTAAAACTTCCACCTACGAAAAACAATGCGTGTCCATCAGCACAGACGGAGATAAATGTGTTTTAAATCAGGTGATGAATCCTAAATGCTTATGTACAATACGTTCATCAGCCACAAATAATGGGCTGTCCTGTTAAAGCTCCGACCTAAAATATTACAGACCGCATGAGAATTGAACAAACCATTCCACCAGTGATGTCACCTTTACTGAAGCAGAGGTTTTGACAGCAGCTTATGGTTTTTATTTGGCTTATTCGAGGACTCGAACGGCACATGTATAGCTAAAGTCATGATCTTAATTATCTGTAAACAGAGATACTTTACTGCTAGTTTTTTCCATCTCCCATCTTCACAACAAATCTGACCTGCACAGACTTTCCGTTCGTGGCTTCAATATTACACATACTGCCAAAATGCTGTGAACATTCATTCTGGAAACAATTGAGCGGACGGTTGGAGGAGGGGAGTCTTCCTCATAAAAACCCGATACCAACAGCACACTTCCAGCTGAAGTGCTCTGAAATGAGGCAGCTTTTGTCCCTTTGAATACCAGGGACCCACCAGTCTTCAAATGCGGAGTTTCCTGTGTAGGAAACAGTAGAATCTAAAGGGGGCATTTAAGACCTTTCTCACCGCCTCAGCTAATTATAGAGCTTATAGCATAAGGCGTTATGTACCTTAAAGCATCTGCATCTACGGTTCAGTCAACATGGACTTAAAAAAAAAACCCTATGTTTAGCATATCTTAAAATACTGCAGTAAGACACTTTTATTCAGCTGCAAAACTGTGCAACCGCCGTGGCATCAAATATGGAAGAACAAAATGAAGCCATGATTTCATCGTGCAAGCAGCCACGCACCACGCTGCTGCTGGCAGTGTTAGCAAGTGTTACTGACAAGCACAAAAAAGGCCTGGATTCAAGCAAAACACAGATGAGAGGTCCAGATTGTCTGTTTGAATAAGGTGGGAGGAGACTGGGTGGATGGTTGGGTTCAAACAGATGCTGTGAAGAGGAGGGCAAGACCCCCCCACTGCCACCGACCAGTGTGGGATTTGATGAACACTGACCATTTTTTCCAACCATATACTTAATCTTTTTAGCCAGGAAATTAGATTTAATCTGGCTGGTATAGCTCTAAACATTGTTTTTGTCCACTGTAAAAAAAAAAAAAAAAAAAAAAAATGGGTTTGAGTGACAATTCCCTTAAAAGCTTGTGCAAGTTAACATTTTGGAAAAAGCAACAAGTGACAGAAGTGTTTCAGCTGCTATGGTTAAAGTCCTCACACCATCACTTTGGGCTGGAAACAGAAAATCAGCTCGATACCGAGACGTACAAAGACCACAAGACTCGAGTCTCTGTGCTTCGCATGCAGAGAGGAAATGGCAAATTAGAAGACCAGTTAATTTGTGAGTTACAGTACAACTAGACAGCTCGCAATATTTACTATCCTCCTGACACACGAGGGATGAAATTGAAACTTCTCCAGCAGCTTTCTCAGTCTTTCCCTATGCAGACCGGCCAAGCAGTGGGAACGCACGTTCCTTCGCTTATCTGACCAGAATAACAAGCGTCCTGCTGGGCAGCTGCTGCTCACTGCAACAGGACGGGTCCTTCGCACTACAGCACACCTTCCCCATCCTAAACCTCCACATCAGCAACAGGAGCAGACTAAGTTGTGGATGTTTATAAAACGTTATGAGGAATGGGGCTGATATTGGTTATTTCTTGCTGGAAATTAAGTACCTCAAGATAATGTTTCAAAGCAGTAACTTCACAGATACATGCTCAGTGTAAGCAGAAATGATCTGAAATTAAAAAAGGAAGAGGCCAGTATCATCACATCAAACAAAGCATATTGGCCTACACATGAAAACACCTCCATGTGATCAGTATTAAGGTATTATTACGACTTTAATACTGCATTTACACACATTAGTGTCGTGTCAGATTATGTATGCACATTATAGTGTATCTGTCCATTTGCCCACAAACCATTTAACCATAATAGAACATTGTGTGAAATAATAATTGGGGATACAATATGACAACCAGTTTCCTCCCTGCTAAAACAATGCTGTCTGGACACAGATTTTTGACACTAAATCTGGCACGACCCCGTGGCTGTCTCTAATCAGTGCTGGCTACCTGAACCCGGCATTGAGCCCACTGATCTAGCATTTCACTAGCAAGCTGTGCTAACAGCCACCACAACCATAACACCAATCACAAACAGCTGTGTTCACTCAGCTAACATTAGCCTCGTGTCAGGTACGTGTGATGCTACACAGCTAGCTTAATTAAAAAAAATGTGTTGTGGTCGTTACCCTCTTTCACTCCAGGTAGTTTATTCTTGTCGATGCTAACGTCACATTCAGCCATGGTGTCACCGATAATAAGTCAAAAACACCGTTGACGTTGAATTACACTTCCGCGTTTCAAACGAAGGTTAACCGCAGGCTGATTGATCGCCTTTGCTTATAAAATCGATTGGTGGTTGAAGTGCCGGACGGCCCTTTTGATTAGTTTCGGTGGCCACCCTCTCCCGATACGTCGCCTCTGTAATTGCCTAGCTGCTACTCTGCTTGAAGCTAGCCTGTCAGGTTTTCTACGAGCGTCCCTCCCTCCGTGAACCTTCTCACAACAAGCCCGAGAAGAGACGTTGGTTTAAGACGCGTCTTCCGCTCAGGAATGTCAGAATAAAAGACACGGAATTTAAAGTTAAAGCCCCTTAAAACGTGGTTTCTGTTGTTTCTTTATAGCATGAGATATTCATGACCATAAGTGAAAATGACAGTAAAAATAAACATACTATATGTTAGTTATTAGGATATTCACAGTGAAAACTAAGCTACTATTTCTCTTCAGGAGGATGGGTGGGTGTGGGTTGATCAAATGTGTTTGTCAATGACAAAAACAACTGGCTTCAGATAAAATGTTGTGACATATTTTTACCAAATGAGCTCTCCAGTCACACAGAAATATTTCACGTAAAAAATAACCAAACTTGTTATAACTTTGCTCATAAGATCCCATCACTCTTAAATGGTAGCTTATTGACACAAGAAGTTTTCAGGAGCTTAATGGGTGATTCATCCAACATTTGTTAATTAGGTTTCTCAGTATTTGAAAACCCTACTTTTCAAATAGTTCAAAATTATGAACAGAAGCTCTGTACATAGATCACACGAAGACACCACAGCAAGTTCCTGCTGAAGAAAGCTGTGAAATTTAGTCCAAACATGAACCTTGATTGAAGAATATGTTGTTGATTGAATGTTATTAGATTACATTAATGCACACGGTGTTGCAGTGTGTTAAATACAATAGTGGCTAAAATCTTAAATGTTATTGTATATTTATGGCATCCAACATAACAAAAGTGTAACGTTACAATAATAATAAATTGAAGTCATACAATAACTGCAAGAAAATGTATTACACTATATTTCAATCGAAAGCCACCAATTTAACTTGTTATAAGAGGGCCATGCTCCGATTTGCGATTCAATTTGGAAGATATATTATCACACTTCCGGTATAATTCCAGCTCGCGCTGTTTAACTTGACGCAGTTTCCTCCTCACGGTTCATTGACTGTCTACCTCTGTAAGTACGAAGCCTATGAGCTAAAGGGAGCACACCTCCTTGGGCTATATCTACGGCCCAAATGAATAATGATGTCTGGAGGCGCTGCATGCGGCTTATGTGAAAAAAAAAAACCCGGATAAAGTAGAATGACTACACACGTGTTTGTCTGAATGAAGATGACACACATAATGTCTACTATGTATGCGCCTCATATTCGATCTCTCTCTCTCTCTTTCCCTCTTAATTCCACGATTAAACACACACGCACACACACACACACACACACACACGTGTCATGTGATCTGACAGCAGCTGGTGTTGTGATTGTGTTAATGAAATTGCTCCCTCTAGTGTTCAACTTCAACATTTCAAGTTGCGGTGTCCGCCACACCTGCACCAATTCATTTTCTTTACTGATCATCGTGTAGTGAAGTGGTATTACTGGTCCATTTACTGGCTAGTCAGTAACACCATTAGTAGACACCCAGTGACTGTGTCCATAGTTAATGCTGAATTAGTTAGGTTAAGGCCTTGGTGCATGCAGCTGACATTTACTTGACATGAACAATAAGCTCCCCTGTAATTTGTTCCCCTTCAAGCCCTTGAGCTGTTGCCTATTCAAAAGCCGAGTGACTAAAGTGATGAAAGGTTCTTGGATGTGAGACACTTCACCAGGCTCCTGAGTCATTTCTGAAGAGGTACATGGCAGCTTTTATGAGACCATCACCAGCCAAATTTAGTAGGCAAATTTCAACAAGTTAATTTCCCAAATACTGCACAAGCACAATGCCTGTTCCTCTGGCCGAGGTATGAGATGTGATTTCCTTGACGCACAAAATCTACAGTGACTTAGGAGGTGTTGGGCAGTTGGCTCGGCTGCAGTGATTGATGTTCCTTCAGCTCCCAATCAGTCCTGAAGACAAGAATAAGGAGCTCATATCTGGCTATGATCCACTTAGAGACTGAACCAATTTACTTGTTCCCCTGACCAACACACTCCCATGTATCTATTTACAGAAGCAATTAATGTAAGAGAAAAACACTTGCAAGTGCCAAGACCATCTGATTCTGGTCTCTCATAACCAACAGGCTGATTGATAACTTCCTCGCTTGGTTTGATTTGCCCGTGTCAGAGTGATGTAGGGTTACTGGCCTTGCCTACGTAAGATCACAGTATTGCACTCAGACTCTCCACGATCTATGTGAAAAGGTGGCCTGTTGACGAAACCAACAATGACAATTGATTTAGTACGTAAGGAGCTGACTGGCCCCTCCTCCTGGCCTCTGAGAGGATAAATATATTGATGTGATGGACCCAAGGCAGTGGATTGCTTGTCTTACTTGAGGCAGTGGTCATAGTGCAGCATAGTTTGGGACAATGAGTATGTATAGGGTTACAGTTGTGAACTACTGCTTAGGACTCCTGGGTTTGTTACTACTGCAGGGAGTTCTAAATGTGGAGGGACGGAGCATATTCAACCAAGGTAAGTGTGTAAAACTATCATTGTTTCAGGTCTATATATATACTGGAAGAAGCCGCTGAGGATGCAACTACTGCTCCCTTTACTCTTCACGTTGGTGCCATTGTTGGGTCAATGGTTCCGGTTAAGAGATGATGACTGAAATGGGATGGATGTGACATTGTCTGTTTGTTTTGTGATATTCAGAGTGCTAAAAGTTGCATTTCTATTTGCTTTGTATGTGCAGGAAACCATGTTTATAATCCAAAAGACGACACAGATCCTCAGAGCAAGATTCTGGCACTGTTACTACACAGGGGCTTAGTTCCTGTTGAAAAGGATGATCCTCTAGGTGAGAGATAAAAGAAAATGGTGAATATAGATAACACAAATGCATTCCTTGCTTTGATGATGACTGGTTTTCCTTTCGGCAGGTCTCGAGCTGGCCAATAAATTTGCTGAATTAGAGCAGGTAAGAAAATTCACAGATTCACCTTGAGGTACCTTTGGAAAAAAATGTGGCCTCGGCAGAAAGCCTTGATTAACCACGGTGTAAATAGATGTGTATTCGGTGTATTAGATGTGTACACGGTGTATTCTTATTTTCTATAAAAGTGTATTAATTCTAGAGAAGAGGCTTTGAATGAACACCTGTTACACTACTTCCTTACTAAAAGTCGTTGAATAGGAGTGTTGATACTGAGATGACGTCGACCTGCCGTGGTGTGTTTAATCCCTCTGATCTCTGCTTGCAGCTGCGGGCGCTGAGGGAGGAACTGGAGATGGAGAGGGAGATCACAGCCAATTTGGCAGAAGGCAAATCCATAACTAGGAAGAGGGGCGAACGTGAGTTAAATTTAGTGCTTCTGGATCAAAATGCATCATGCAAACTGATTAACATTTGCAGTTAATTCTAAACCATCGCAGTATTAATGTTCTGCGTGCTTCTGTTGCCTGCAGCTTGCTTCTGGAAGTACTGTGTCTGACACAGATGCAAGAGGAGGAGGAACACTGTGAAATCTGGCTGCAAAGCCCAACATGGCCTTAAGACTGAAAACACCTGTAATATAATCACACTGTATTCATCCCAGCAATATAGAGTTGTACCATAATCAAAGTCATCAATATACATTTCCGCCGCACTGGGGTGCCCTCATGGGAGATCGGAGGACTGCAGCTGTACATCTTTAATCTGTAAATAATCAGCTACACACTGGAAATACTTGAGGGTCAGATATGACAGAATGTACTTGACAGCAAAGACATACTATTATTTTAGCAGGGATTTTATTTGCCTATACTGCATGTGTTTATGTTGCTCTCTTGTGGCCGAATTGGGCAAAACATTTTTTGTACCGCTGCCAAGACGTCAGTCACTGCTTTTAGAATGCACTGCTGTTCATTTTACAAAATAAATAAAGTTATAACGTGAATCTGCACTTTTTTTTATCTTAAGAGAAAATGATTGACCGTGACTTGGTCACTGAATGGACTCTTTTTAGAGGTTTAAAAAGGAGACAATTATTTGCACAACTTTCCAATCAAATAAAGGACACCATGTTATTGAGCTCTGAATACATCTCTACTCATACCTACTTTTTATTATTAATTACTTGATTTATCAAATATTTTAATCAGTGGAAATAAACGTGGAAGGGAAGGAATGTGGCACATGTTGCACATCGGCGGTGACGGGTGAAATACTGCACAGTGAAGTTCATCTTTTGGAGGAGGGGGACAAAGATGAGTCTCATGCTTTGTCTGAATAATGCTGCTGCTGCTGTTCACTCAGAGAATGATGTGACGCTCAGCTGCATTCACAGCAGCATCAAAGAAAGCGTCGACTCTTGCTTTGAGCCAGTGAGTCTTTTTGCAGTTATGAAAACATGGACATTATGGTACAACACATAAATAAATATCTAGCATATTATATATTTAAAATATTGAAAGGTAAGATACAAAGAACCAATTCCATAAAACAATAGACTGCTCTATGGTGGTTCCTTATATAGTGTTGTATATATACCAACAGTTACGTTTATTTTTGCACATTGCTGACTTGATTATTTTGCCCCTAAATTCAAAGGGGTGTAAGCTAAGTGACTCAACATGCATCCACAACTTTTGGACAAACTCAGCTAACATGGGATGCTTTTGTAAACCTGTTGGTATCTGGTAGCTCAGCAGTACATCATCACTGCCTGGTACTCATTTTAACTGTGACTGCCAGTGAGACGCCTAACTGCAAACACTAGCAGAAAAACTTCCTTTCTCTCCCTAAAACCACACGTGACATGTTGGGAGAAAACACACTGAAGAAGCGATACTGTTGTTGTCAAACATCCTAACTGACTCAATGCAGAAATGGATGTTATCTGTTTCAGTATGTTCAGCATCCTCCGTGTCACTCCACAGCAGTAAATATAAGTATGTGCCAAAGGCCTGTTTCCGACACAGCTCAAGACAAGAAATAAAAACTCCCCGAAAACTTAGCACATACAAGGAAAAAACTAAAGAAACCATTGGAAAGGCAATTCAAAGCTCTTTATCGTGGGGCGGCAGTGGAAACTGGCAGTTATAAATGCTGTAACAGTTTGTAAAAACACAACAAAATAAAGACAGAACAATTGTAATCCTATATTAAGTACAATTTTTGGTGAAAGTGCTTTTAAGCTACAGAGACATTTTAAACTACATAATTAAAAAGTGCAAGATTTGAAAAACAGGATCACTTTGAGCACTAAATTAACTTGTCCTGACATTCAATTACAATTCTCTGGTTGATATAATTTGCTGATTTGTTTAAAGTTTGCTGTCTCTTTTATCAGAACTTTTTAAAATGTTTTTGCTGTTTGTTTTAAGTCTGTTATTTGCGTTTGTATGTTGGGCTTGAGTGAAAATGTTACGCTGTCATGACGACCTTGTAAACGAGAATCAAAATCTAGGATAATCTTGGCTAAATAAAAGTATAAATAAAAATAAAAATACATTCAGTAAAATATGGGTCTAGTGAAAGAAGCTTGATGAAATAAGTCATTGCATTCATCCAGTATTGTCATATTATTCCAGGTCCACTACAGGCAAGATACGGGTTAAGGTTGGGCAGCATGAAGGATGTGCAGTGTGATGGCTGACTTTTGGGCGGGCATTTTGTCGGAGCAGAGGGCAGGGTGACTTTACAGACAGGGTGCTCAGCGCTTTAAGACAGCCCTGAAGAGAAGAGCAGCACAGATCCCAGCAACATGATCATAATATCAAACAGACAATGATGGATTCTCACTTCAGAGGTTGGTAGAATATCAAACTTGTTTTGGTTTTAACCCCAACTCAGGTTTGGTCTTTTTGTTGTTTAACAGAAAAAAGATCAAACTGTTATTCTTTTATATCATAATTGTTATTCTTTTCTATATTTTCTAAATGTAGTTGAAGAAATATAGTGTTGTTTTGGTTAAACATGGAAAGATCATTACTATGCTCTGCTATTTAGGGGGAGATACGTGAGACATACCTAATTTCAGATTTGATTTTGTGTGTCAAAATGTGTCTTTATTTCAACTTTGCAGGCACCTTGTGGACGACACTCATCCTCTTCACACTGCCACACCTCACCTGCAACATGCCCTGCCCCGGCTGTTGCCTGTACAAATCAAATGAAGTCCTGTGTTTCAGCGACACCATCACAGATATACCAAAGCAGCTGTCTGTCCACACATACACACTGCGGCTTGATCAAACAAACATGAACATCATAAATGAGCAGAGCTTGGCGAACAAGAAGCTCCTGTTGCGTTTCAGTCTGACTCGCAGCCGGCTACACACTATCCATCCCAGAGCCTTTCACGTTGCTCCACAGCTCAAGTCTGTACAGCTGTCGTCCAATGATCTCTCTGCCTTCCCTGCTCGAGTCTTCAGTCCATTGACCACTCTGGAGGAGCTGTATTTAGATAGAAACCAGTTGGAGAGCATAGCTCCGGATATGTTTAAAGGACTTGTTCAGTTGCAGAAACTGGACTTGAGCGCTAACAGAGTGAGCAGTCTTGCTTCACATGTTTTCTATGGACTGACAAGCCTCACCTTCCTGAACCTTGGCAGGAACTCCATCAAGAAACTTCCACCAACCATTTTTCATGATTTGACTAATCTTGGCATGCTCATGATCTATAACAACGAACTAAAGGTGCTAGAAGCTGGGATTTTTGATGAACTTGTCAACCTTGTGGTGCTAAAAATTCATCAGAACCAGATAACCAGCCTCCCACCTCAGGTGTTCTGGTCACTGAGGAACCTGGAGAACCTGACTCTGTCCTCCAACCAACTTCAGACGATCCCGGAAAAGAGTTTCTACAACATGCCCAAGTTGATCCAGCTTACCATTTACAAGAATCCGCTATTATCTCTACCAGACCAGCTAATGGGTCACATGCCTGACATGACTGTCTTTTATCTGTATAACACCAGCCTCACCACTGTTCCTGGAAACTTGTTCGCCAACATGTCTGGACTCCAGAATCTTAACTTACATCTTAATATCAAGCTGAGGGAGTTGCCCTCAGACCTCTTCTGCTGCGTTCCCAATCTTGAGCAGCTGTCATTGAAATCCAACGACCTCCATTATCTACATCCTCAGCTGTTCTCCAGACTGACCACACTGGGCATGCTGTGTCTTAATGACAATAAGCTGCAGAGCCTTTCAGATAACATTTTTCAGGGCCTTGAACAGGTTTTGACGGTTAATTTGACGAATAACAGCCTCAAGAATCTTCCAGGAGATATTTTCTTGTCAAACACAGTTTTGAGTGATCTTACGCTGAGTGGCAACCCCTGGAACTGTGTTTGTAGTATCAGCGGTATTGCCAAATGGATAAGACATAATGAGCATGTGGTTCTTGACAGAGATGATGTGATATGTCATAGTCCAACGTACCAACAGCTCCGAACCGTTGGCTCCCTGCGTGATGAGGAGTTATTTTGCGATGGTACAACGTTCAGGACTTTTTTTTCTTCACATAAGCCGATGAAACCGTTTCACACCAGTGAACAAACACCAGCTGTAGCTTCAACAACCGCAATGCCTACAACAAGATCAACCACCATTCAAATAGCTACCCAACAAGTCACCATCCAAACAAACACTCCAACTGCAAAACCTTCTGCCTTACATACAACGATCCCACCAACAACTCTCCAATCTCCCACCACCACTCTGCCTAACGAGGAGTTTCTTCTTATAACCGAGACTCCCTTGTCTTATTACTTGTCACCTACTTTCCATGACACATTGGTGGTTGAACAGGGGCCCGAGTTTGTTCACCACAACCGTCTCAAGGGCTTGGTGTACGTGTGGTTTCTGCCCTCGGATGCAGCCTTGACCGGGCTCCTCATGTTCTGCCACATCCTTCTTGTGGCCGCAGGCTTGTTCCTCATTCTTGCTGCCATGTTTTGCATGTATCTCCTCAACAAGACGATGGATGAGCTGAAGGATGAGTTTGAACATCCTCCAGGGTAACAAAGCATGTTATCAGACCTGGTGCAAAAGAGACCATCCTGTCCTTTTCCAAAGGCTGCATTTTATAAAAGAGCCCTCTTAGCTGTAGGTTTACTAGATGTTGTGTTAAGTTGTATCTTCAAGTGTTACTTTAACAGTCAGACTTGAAATTTGAGATTAATGGGAGTTATTTTAAGAGAACAAAGAATTACGGTAACATAATACAGTATTTAATATCATATAATACATTGCAGTACATAATACAGTATGTTAGCCTCTAACCAGCTATACCGATTTTACCACTTGTTTGTTAATTTTATATAATTTATATAGAGCTGTAATTTATATAGAGCTGTAATTTATGTAGAGCTGTAATTTATGTAGAGCTGTAATTTATATAGAGATGAAGTCAATAAAAAGAAAAACAATCCGCAACTATTTTGAGAATCGATCAATTGGTTTCAGTCATTTCTCCAATAACTTATTAAATGTGATGATGTGCTGTTTTTCTTTGAAATGAAAGTAAATCAAATAGCTTTGTGTTTGGGACTGTTGGTCCGACAAATAGACAAAAAGAGCCAAATAAAAGGTCACTTTTGGGGGTTGTCATGAGCCTTTTTTACTACTTTTTAATATTTCGTTGACCAAACAGTTAATGGATTAATCAGGAAAATATGTGGCATATAAATTCAATTGTTGGTATTAAAATAAACATTAAATTAAACTTTCCTTCTGTCATCCTGTCTTTGCTATGGTGCCGTGTGCATATGGGAGAAGTTTGCCTTCTAGGGTTTCTGCCAGAAATATCAAAATGTGATGCATACTAATGTGTAAGCTACCCACATTTAATGTATCTGTTTTTCTTATGTAGAGTGCAATTTTAAGCTTCATAAAGCAAACTCAAGCCTATGTGGTCAAAAGTGATCACAAGTGGTTTGTTTCCCTCTAGTGGTGAAAGCTTCAAACTGCGTTAAGAGGCGTCACAACTCAAAAAAATAGTTTGCTGTACTTTTGAGCAAACAGTTCTTTGACGCTTCTCAAATATTTGAAGTTGTTTCGTAAACTTGTGCCAGGGCACCAGTCGTACTTGAGAGAGTTACTGTTACCATACCACTTATCTGAGTTTCTCATCTTTTTTGGAATGTGGGAGGAAAGTGCATTTCCAAAATGAATCATGTCTTGAATACTGGGAAGTATAACACCATCATCTTCCTAACAACCTTCAAAACAGGAAGCTCTGATTACTTTTCCTATTGCAAGAGAGTACGCAAGCCTCCATTACGGAACAATGTGCACACAGTTATGACTCCCCTGTTTTCGGAGTAGTCCAAGTTCACTTACAACATAAGATAACTTATAAAGCCATAAAATGATTGAAAATAGTTGTTTTTCGTTCTATCCTAAAGTTTTCATACAATAATAATAACACCTTTTAAAATAATTCTTTCGTGGCCGAAACAACAGACACTTTTCGACTGATGATCAAAAAAGCTTTCAAATCTTTTAAACCTGCACAAAAACACAGCGGATGCCACGAATTCCACGAGAAGTGATTGGACTTTAAAACAAACAGCAAACAAAAGAGGATGAATCGGTGAACAGCGCCCAAGTTCATTGCTATGGCAACGGGTGATTAGGCCTTTCCAGTACGCTGAGCTCACACAACAGTGGGCACACACACACACACACACACACACACACACACACACACACACACAC